TCTAGTTAATACATGTTGTTAACTGCCATCAAGTCAATTCCAACTAATTGTGGTTAGTAGTCCAGTGGTTATCCTGCAGTGCCACACTAGTACTCCTCTGAGTTCATACATATACATGATAAAAATGACAATGACAGAAAGTGTGTACAGTGAACAGTAAGTCCCTTATCCACATTCCTCCATTCCCCTCCCAGAGGTAGTCTTTGTGTATTGTATGCATAGCATATGTTGTTGTTGTTAGGTGTTTTCAAGTCAGCTCTGACTCATAGCAACCGTATGCATAACAGAACGAAATACTGGCCAATCCTGGACCATCCTCACAATTGTTAGCACTCTTGAGCTCACTGTAACAATCCATCTCATTGATTTTCTTTATTGACCCTTCACTTGACCAAGCATGATATCCTTCTCTGGTTACTGGTCCCTCCTGATAATATGTCCAAAGTATAAGAGACAAAGTCTCACCATCCTAACTTCTAAGGAGCATCTGACTGCGCTTGTTTTTAACACAGATCTGTTTGTTCTTCTGGCAGTTCATGGTGTTTTCAGTATTCTTCTCCACCACCATGACTCAAATGCATCAATCCTCCTACAGCCTTCCTTATTCATTGTCCAAATTTCACAAGCATATGAGGCTATTGAAAATACCATGACTTGGGTCAGGTGCATCTTAGTCCTCAGACTGACCTCGTTGCTATTGATTGAACATTTTAAAGAGGTCTTGTGCAGCAGATTTGCCTAATGCAGTATGTCATTTGATTTCTTAACTACTGCTAGCATGAATGTTGTAGTGGATCCAGGCAAAATGAAGTCTTTGACAACTTCAATTTTTTCCCCATTGATCATGATGTTATTTACTGGTCCAGTGGTGAGGATTCTTGTTTTCTTTATAGTGAGGTGCAATACATACCAAAGGCTACATAGTCTTTGATCTTCATGAGCATGTGTGTGTGTGTATATATACAGGCCTACTTACATTTTTCTGTACGTATATTTTAACTTATTTTCTTGCAAGGTTATAGACAGGAAAAAGTGTCTCAGAGGTGTGATTAATGTCATATTTGGGATTTGTCAGCAGGCATCATCTGAAACAAATGCTATTGTTTGGGAGTCCTATGACAATGACACATAGAACAGCTGAAAACACACTCTCCCATTCACAGTCTGCGTGCGCGCACGCATTCCTCAAGTGCAAGTCCTGATTGTATTTCCAAGCTTCTCCTTCGACTTTACATAGCGAGAGTAAATTTTCTTGGACATCGGAAAGTCATATGGAAAATCTCATCATTCTCATCAGTTTTTTAATCAGAGAACCTGGATTTGGTTGGATGACTCAGGGTCCCCAAATTATCTCCATGAGGAATCAAGCATCTCAGTTGTCTGGGCCTTCCCCCATGGCAGAAGTTTTTGGGCTGTGGGCAGAGTGCTGCTGGAGTCTCCCAGACTGTCCCTGGACTGCCTGCCTTGCACATGGACACTACAACCCAGACAAGGCTGGGGCGGAATCGGGAAGAGGTGTCTTTTGGCCTGAGGAAGAGCTTATTTGCTCTCTGGTACACTAGCTTGTTGACTGTAGTTCTTTGCAGTATTGTGACTTCCAGGTTTTCAGCCAGGTTCTGTTTTCAGGAAGGACAGATAAAAGGGCGGGTGACCTGTGAACCCACTGAAATTGGGGAAGAGAGAGAGAGATGGGTTAAGTGTCCTGGTATGCTTATTGTTGAGCTGATTCCAGCTTCCTTTTCATTCTCAATCCCCTCAGTATGGTCACAAGCCTTAACTCTAGACACTCAAGTTGCTTGTTTTCCCCTTTACATACTGCCTAATGCTGCTCTAGCAGAAATACCAAAAGTGGGTGACTATAAAGAACAGAAATTTATTTTCTCACAGTTCAGGCTGCCAAAAGTCCAAATCAGGGTTTGGGTCATGTAGATTCCTTCCTTGTTGGTAGTTTCAGGAATTCCTTGGTCCCTTGTCTTTACATGATTCTCAGATAGCCCCTGTGTAAGACCTGTTCCTTTTGTAACACAGAAGCAATTAGGTTTAGAACACACCTATAGTAATATGCTTTCTATAAGAATAGCATGACCTCCTCTGACTTCACAAGGGAAAAGAGAATCAAACTCAACATCAGCCCAAGGCCAATTCTTCTGAGGCCAAGGTCAGACTTGCCTCCACCCTCAAACTTTCCTTACCAATTGTAGCATCAGCCATCCCTCCCAAGACACCATTTCTCTGCTGGGTTCATGATCTGTTAAA